TCTGTAACTTAAAATATATATAAAATCTTCAAGCATTAAATCTTCAATATGGAAACAGCCAGATCATTTGATTTTTTACTGTAATTTGCTTTACAAATGTGCTGATTTCTCCCTTGTGTCGTTGAGTGGTGCTTTGCATTCTACTGCAGGATGATTCTGTTGCACTTGCTTAGGCCTTACTAAATAACATTACTCTGCTTATCATGGTGCCCTTCCAGTCTCCTCCAGTGTCCATCTGCTGGGTTTCCGTACACTTAATGCTCCAGCGAAGCACAGATCAGGAGCTGCCCTAATGATGCATGCTGATCACATCATCCCTCTTGGGCTTTGAAGTGCTCATGGGTCTGAGGCTTTAGGGTCAAAGGTCACCGTGTTTATTTATGAAAAGCTGGATCATCTAAAACAGGCTTTTCAAGGCCTTGCAGACTTCAAAGATCGCAAAGCTGGCTGTGCCACGCCAAAGCAGGCACTGGTGCTTTTTATTACGCCAACTGAAAGCACGCTCTTCACTGCAGAAATGGAGAGACCTGTATTGTTTTATTTTCTCATTCAGTTTGGGAAGGTGTTAATTGATGGAGTCTGAGCAGAGTTCTATTACTTATGCAAACAAGCAGTAAATATATTTGCTTATATCTGCAGCGTTGGCAGTCCCTCAGTTTTCACTATTTAGCTCGTTTCCTTTGATAAAGGACCTGGGAGCCACAGTGGTGAAAAGATTCCAAAGCAGCAGTGAGATAAGGATCAGATTCCAAAACTCCCAGAAAGTCAAGGCTTCGCCAGTTCTTTCTAGAAAGAAAAGCCCAGTTTGTGACACACCGTAGCAAGACTGAGCCATGAATCAAGGTAATGGCTCGCATGGTGTGGAACACAAATGGCATATTTTAACTCTGTTATGTCATCCTTCTCTGTTTTGCCTTATTTTCCCCATTTGTCTGATACCATATAGAAAATACAAGTCAATGAATTCTGTATTACACTGACTTGGACTAAATCAAATTTCTGTTGTTTTTTTTTACATTGAACACGCAGTTATGTAAAAATTAGTCCATGAGTACATCTTATTTAATTGGCATGTAAGATACCAAAAACACTATTAAAAATAAACTGCTCTGAGTAGATTTTCTGAGGTGTGGGGATAGAAAAACGGTATAAAGGGAACGAAAGAAGGAGTGTGTTCACTTTATCAAACATGCCTTTTGCCTTGTAATAGAATCTTCTCCCTGTCCTTCAGAGCAGAATCTTTTAATGTCACTCATAGAGATCGCTAGTATGCAGAAAATGTTTTTGTGGTGGCAGACCTGGAGGGCTGTTGGAGAAAGTAAAAAATATACTTAAATTGAGAAAGCAGTACCTAAATAATGGAGGTTAAACAAAAGCAAGATACATAACAAGCCTAGGCAAGAAATCCCCAAAAAGTTCAACGGTCATACCAGCTCAGGATACCAAGATGACAATGTTTGCTAATCTACTAGAGGAACAAGGTTCCTGGTTGCAGCATGTATTCTTTTTGCTACTTTTTAATTGTTCCCATCACATTTATTTGTCCAAGATAATTGTGTATTTGTGTGTAATATACAGACATCTGTTTAATTCTACGTTCTTTTTGCTCCAAGTACTACCTGGTTATCATCTCTGTGTGCACTCTAAAGTTTCCTGAAAATCAAAGAAAAAAAAAAGTCAAATGAAATCTTTGCATTCTTAATGAGAAAATGGATTGATGCATGATGCACCATGCACTCTGATTTTTTTCCAATGGAGATGTAATTCTGTAGACAAGTCCCTGAAGCATAAAACAGCAAAAGACTCTTGTTCTTATATTGCTGCGTTCTGTCAAGGAAAGCAGGTCTGAGAACTGAAATGCTAAGATAAACGTGGATTTATATTTTTGTAAATTGTAAAATCAAGTTAGTTAACTCAAAATTCAATTGACCAACTGAAAAAACAGATGCTATATTTATGACACTGACTGTACGTATGTTGCAGAGGCGATTAATCTGTCATGCCTTCTCTAGAAACCATTCCTCCATGCTGTTATAGTTACTAATGTAATAATGTCCCTTTGGTAAGTATGGCTCATACTTCTACAGCTGTTGTAACTTGCCGTGACATGACTGGATAGTGTCACAGAACAAAGGCGGTAAGGGTTTCCATATCTCATGGTCTCTGTGCTATTGTGTATCAAAATGCTTTTTATTCATAAATGGGGTAACAGCTGCAGTTACAGTAACATCATAAGTGCTGCAGTGGAAAAAATTTCAGTGGTAAGATAACATTATTTTTGAGAAGAACATCCTAACTTTTTAGTTTAAACCCATATTGCAACAGTATTTTTAAGATTTGAAAGTATACGTCAAAGAATTATTAATAATTTGTTTGTTCTGCCAGCAGTGTAATGGAGTATCTAAAACACAAAAAAAAGAATACATTTGAAAGAGAAACTGATGGGATCTGAGTTAATTTACCTTACGTCTCTCTGTGGCTAGGGGTCTGAAAAAATGATAAACCATAGGCCCTCATTCTCTTGAGCACTGATGATAAATTGAGTGCATACCTTTGAAAACTCCTTAATGGAAAAAATGAAAGGGGCCACCGTGCTGTACGAATCATATTTCTTAAGGAAACAGCCATACTTTTACAGCCATCCGTGCTATAAACAGTAGGCTTAAAAGAAAATATATATGGAAAGGTTACACAAACAGTGTTGTAATGGAGAGGTTCTTTGAAATTCATAGTCAAATAACTGAAAGAGTGGCTTAGCTGCTTTATTTCACAGGAGTTTTATGAAATGTGTGAAAACTGGCCTGGTACTGGGTCTTATTCCTCTTTAAAAAAAGACTTCCCTGATAAAAGCTGCAGTCTGGAGTATGTTTTGTTTAACAAACTTAACTACCTACATCTGGTGGTTTATTTTGTTCTTACTACACCCGGAGTAGTAATATTTTCAGTGTTTGTGAGTGGTTGGAAGGTGAATAATGCATGAAAAGAAAAAAAGAATGAATGAATGAGTATCACATAGACCAGAGCAAATAGGAAGATGAATAAAGAGGAAGGAGAAAGAAATGAACCAGTGGAAGAGAAGGCAGTGTTTTATGGAACGGCTATTGTGAGTCTCTTTTTTTTAAATAATGAAAGAACCAGCACAGTGGTCTCCTTTCCTCTACTGCTTGGTGCTTGATAGCTTCTGGTAAGCCGCCCATTCTCCGTCAATAACTGACCAGGTTCAAGCTGGATAAAATGCAAAGCTGCGTATAGTGGAGATCAAAAAGATTGCAAGCACTTCGGACGGCTTCAAAGGCCTGGCTAGGAATCAGGTGGCTCTGAAAATGCCAGTCATTCAGTGTATGTGTGAGCAGAGCTAACTTAGTGTAACTTGAGGAAAACAGCATAGAGTTTCTACTCTGTAAGCAGGAGCTTTTTATGTGCCATTTGGCACCAAATGTTAATTTGTTTCAGACACCTTTGTGATGTTAATATATGAACATGTTCACAGCTTTTTAAGAACAAGCCAGCCCCAAGATGTGACTAATCTTTTTTGACTCCTACATTCTTTTTTTTTATAGTGCTGCTAGGGAGACCACAAATATATAGAATCTGTCAGCATCATAGGAGTTCTGTTTTTTTGTGTGCCTTTTTCTTTTTAGCTATTAAAAATGAAAGTTTGATTCTGTGGCATTTTATGGAACAAATGAGCCAATCACAAAAGCTATGTTTTATTCCTCTGATTGGGGTTTAATATACATTCTGTGATTGCTCTGTTCAAGTAAAAAGATTAAGCTTAAAACTGAGTTCTGAACAATAATTAGTAAACACTTTACCTGACATTCAAAGATAGAGAAGATTTCTGTTATTTGTGAAAAAAGGATGTATTTTGAAATTTGGTAAGATGTTTGGTAAGAACTACAACCATCTCATATTTGTTATTTCAAATAAAAAATACTTCAAAGTAGCATCGGTAAAATAAATTGATTCTCGTGGTTAATGTTTTTTACCAAACTGGTTTTTGATAGGTCTAGGTAATTTTTTTTAGTAATTTAGTCTGTAAAATTACATAATTACCTTATTTTTCAGGATCTGGTCTTTGAGATTTTATATTTATTATTGTTCCTGTTTTACAATGTCTTTAATCTTGAAACCTTAAAGTTCACAGACATGTTTATTTTTTTTTATTACCAATGCCAAAAATAGCAAAAGGTACTGCTGAAACCTCCAAAACGTCAGCAGGAACAATGTGATGTGCAGTCTGCAGGATATTGTGATAAATTCTTCAGTGGCCACTATGTCTTAGCAATTGCTCACTTTCTGTGAACTTGTGGTTGGTTCGTATTTTCTCATGAAATGAAAATAATTATGAGGCAAAAAGTGTTATCAGTGATCACCAGACAGTTTTTCATGATGTATGCAGAGTAATCATTAGATAATCATAATAACATTTTTTTGTTCAGTATTCCTTTTGTTGAAACCTCTGAGAATGCAATACATCTTGATAACTTTAAAAAAGCATGTACTGTACTGTAGTTGGTGTATTTGGCATGAAATTGGCTTGTAATTCTTGCTGTATCAGATCCTGATTTGGAACAGAACTGGAAACCATAACACTGCCTGTTATAACATTTTTCTGTACAAGACTGTATGTGTTCTGGCATTCATAGGCTAAAGGAAGACCCTTTGTTTGGCTTTGTAGGCATTACATTGGTTTAAACTAATATATCTTGGTTTTAGTCCCGTTCCAGATCAAGAACTGATAATGCAAGAATTACAAGTCTATTTGAGCAAATTCACTGGCACGTGGTGTTTAGCATAAGGTTTCGAACTTTGTATGTTGTCTCTTTATACACTTCTTAACAGCCCATTTCTCTTCTAAATATAATAAATCTATGCTCTGCTGCTAAATGCTGTGAAAAACCCTCAAAAGGAATTAGTTCCAGATTTCAGACTCCCCAAGATCTGACAATGACGTGCCTGTTCTGATTGAACTAATGAGCTCTTCCGGATCTCTGCAGATGACTCAAGCACAGGAAAGGATGGTCCGGTGCTACCAGAAGGGGGTGGCACACAGTATACAAATGAGGACATGTCAGGAAAACAATGGGGTAAGGCAGAAGAATGCTGGACTTTGATGTTTGTGGGTTGTGACTAACAATACGCAGAGGCAAAGAAAAGGAGACCGGGAATGTTCATACCTTATTCTGGGGCTAGAAAGGCCTTGATCCCGCTGGTTACACCAGGCTACGATGGCCCAGTGGATCCCATATGACACTGATTAGAAAAGTCTTTATATTGCATCTGACCTGAAGAGGCCAGCATCAGCTTAAATACAGTATCCTGTGAGCCAAATTCTAAATGTCAGAGTCTTGGTCTCAAAAAGAAATGTGATATTCTGAGTAAAATATTCAACTGTTCTGATGCCCTTTAAGCTCTGGTAGTCCTGAACACATTTCGTTTTGAGCTACAACATGTGATTCTTGGACCGACTTGGTTAAAAGTAATGTTAGGTCTGACATTAGCCTGGGTTTTGAAATGTGTGTTATATAATTACATATGTAAAATTTCAGGATTTATAGATCTATGTCATTTTCATTTTAATGTAAAGGAATCAAATGTATTTACATTTTCTAGATCTTCCAGGCATATACTGTTATTTACATTTAAAAATATATTTCCATGCATTGTACACAATTTTATTGGTATCACCTCCAAACATCTGAAGAGTAAAGTCTTTTCTTTTTCTGCAAATGCACGAGTAGTAAATTACCACAAGTAACCCCAGATTAGTTGGACATGCACTGTAAAATAAATAAATGCATTATTTTAAAGATAAATTAGAAGTTATTAAAAATATTTTGATGTTTATGTTAATAAATCTTTTACCTCTTCTAGACAATGTGAGGCAAACACAATGCTAGCATATATAGTTATACGTTTCAAATTTACATCAAGCGGCATTATGTTAAAATTACTGTCTATAATGCCTCATTTCAAACATTGTGTGTGATTGTGGTCACCATGTTATAGAAAATATATTCTTGCTTGTTATGAGATAGAGAACTTACAGTATGTGATATAACATGTGGTTAAAATGTCACCATGAAACTGTATAACAGCATTCTTCCAGTGACCAGTGTTCAGAAGCTGAATAAAAGTGCAGATCAAGTAGTTGTCCAAGAGTGAAGGAAGGCATGATAACAGAAGTCAATAAGATGCTAGTACAGTAGCAAGGTTCAGAAGTGATGACTGTATTCAACTGAGAATTTGTTTTTTATTGTGAACTTGAAATCACTTAACTGTTATCATGACATTCAGCAAGACTCACTGGAATACATGCGCAAGTTGTCAGAGACTGACTGTGGTACATCTCAGAGAGTGTCAATCTCTATCAGGGCAGTGATTAAGGCGGAAAATGTCAAGGTGGTTGTATTTGTTTAGAAAACGTGTCTCCGTAATGTATTGCACAGTCACGAGTGTTGGTACGAAGCTCCCCTCTTGACCTTGCAGTGAGGCCCAGGTTCACTCAGCCTGCCAAGATGCGGAAGAGGGTGATCGCCCGTCCGGTGGGCAGCTCCGTTCGGCTGAAGTGCGCCGCAAGTGGGAACCCCCGACCTGACATCGCCTGGCTGAAGGACAGCAAGCCACTGACCCCCCAGGAGGTGGGGGAAGGACGCAAGAAAAAGTGGACTCTGAGCCTCAAGAACCTCGCCCCCGAGCACAGCGGGAAATACACCTGCCGCGTCTTCAACCGGGCCGGAGAAATCAACGCCACCTACAAGGTGGAAGTTATCCGTAAGTGCTGAAACGTGGTTTGATTTCGCCACCAAGGAGTTTCAAAATTCAGTTTTTGTGTCAGATAATTAATGGTGCACGGTGCTCTTGTGCCTGCTATAAATCTCCTCACTCATTTCCCTTAGCTCCTCCTCAGCAAATTATGACTTTTGCCGCCAAGGACATCTGCTTTCTAATGTGCAGTTCAAGCAACCGGGCAGAATAAATTTGAAAACCTCTTGGCATGACCATTCACAGAGAAACAGTAGTCCCATATCTTGTATCATGATGGCCTAAATTGGTGTTATGCAAATAGTAACAAAGAAGGAATCTATGGATGAATTAAATATTTTGAATTAAATTTGAATGAATTGTGAAATTGGTCACACAGTTTAAAATGCTTACATATACGTCGGCAACGTGATCTGCTGTAGTGCATTCCTGAGGAGACAGTCAGCTTTTGAAGAAAATGACACATGTGTGCTTTTTCTAATACGACACCAGACTGATAACATCTGAGTTTGCGTTCTAATCCTTGTCACAGTTCCTGAGCTTCAGTTTTCAGATAAAGTCTTAAGAAAATTGGCAATTCTGTATGTAATGGAGAAAGATGAGTGAGGTGATTTAAAACTTTATATAAGAACCATATTGGGGAGGTAGGGTTAGGGGTTTCATTGTGAAAAGTGCTCCAACCTGCTGGACATCTGGTCTCTATTAGACTACAGCTGTGTGTGGACTCTGAAAAACATATGTTTATACTAAAACCAGAAGCAGAGAGGGTGGAAATGAATCAAACATCATCCTCGTGTCAGATGTGGCATTTTCTCCTCTATCAAAAACATACGTGGCTGGGAACAAAATAGTTTCTGTTTCAGAAAATGAGATGTCATCTCTCGTAGCTCTCTGAATCCGAATTTGCCTATTACAAGTGTTTCAGGATAAGAGAAGGATCCATCATATGAGACTCCACCTAAATTTGATCTTGACAGTGATGTTCTGATCCTGTGGTGATTTAACAGAAGGATTTCTAATCTTGTCGGAATTAAACAGTGGTTTCCAGATTACAACTTCTGCTTTGTAGGGGATCAACTTTAATTCTCTGAAATGTAGAGAAACCAAAACTGGATTTTCTCCATACCACAAGAACTGCTACCCAGTTTCAGATAGCTCTATATATATACTGAGAGGCATTAAAACTGCAGCAAATGTGTATTGGAACCAGTAGAATTTCATCTATTTTTAATGGCTCTCAGCATGGTAGCATTTTCCAACAGTTTGCATGATAATGTGTTAATGTTTCAGGCAAGGTAAAATTTTCTGGGCAATGTTTTAAACTACATGTGGCATAAATGACAACATTTATGAAAAGCAACTGTTGATTCACTATTTCCAAGGTAAATCATTGCTTAACTAACAAAGGATGCTTTATGCCATGTATGCTATACAGTCTATTATGTAATTGATTTGTTTCATGTCTGCATGCCTAGACTGTGTTTTTATATGGGGTGGATTGGAGGCACATGTTCGTTTTCAGTAATGCCACTAATCTAGCAAAATCTTCCTGTTGGGTGCATTTGTAAACAAGTTACCACTTTCCAAAAATTACGGTGGAGTGACTCCTTTACTTAATTAATACTGCCCGTGTCCAGCATATTCATGTGTAATACAGGGTGAACAAATAAGGAATTTCCAAATTATTTCTCACAGAGAGGTAGTTCTTAGGGAGAAAGTACTAAACCAGAATAATATATTCTTCTCGGCCGGACTTCTGTCTGTTACATAGATTGAGTGGATCAGACCTGAATTTGTCATTGGATATGACAGACATTAACATTAACAACAGATTGTAAAAAGTCTTTTCTTTCCTGCAATAGAGCGGACAAAATCCAAGCCTATCTTGACGGGCACTCATCCCGTCAACACCACAGTAGACTACGGCGGGACGACCTCTTTCCAGTGCAAGGTGCGAAGCGACGTCAAGCCGGTCATCCAGTGGCTGAAGCGCGTGGAATACGGCAATGAGAACAAGTACAACTCCACCATCGACGTCGGGGAGCACAAGTTTGTGGTGCTGCCCACAGGGGAGGTGTGGTCCCGCCCGGATGGCTCCTATCTCAACAAGTTGCTCATCACACGGGCCAAGGAGGAGGATGCTGGCATGTACATCTGCCTGGGAGCGAACACCATGGGCTACAGCTTCCGCAGCGCCTTCCTGACCGTCCTGCCTGGTACGAGCCCCTTCGTCTCTTCATCTTTCGGTTTGCAGCCATACTGCATCGTTTGCTTAACCAGATTTGTGGCTTTAAACCTAAAAGGCTAGTTTGGGATTTTTTGAACCCAAAGCATTGTGGAACACACTACCCAGCCATGTTTTAGTAGCTCGAACCCAAACTACCAAGGCAGGCTGGTAACCCTTTTGTAACCCTTCTTGTCTTCTCATGTTTTCCTTTTAATGCTCAAATTGAAATTTAAAGGGTGTGCATTAGAAAAAGAAAATAAATATTTGCAGCTGTGGAGAAGTAGGAATTTGCACAGTACAGCGTACAATGCTGCTTCTTAGGGCACCTTGTCGCCTTTCAGGCCCCTTATAAGAGGACGTCACTGGGCCTTGAGTCTAAACACACCCTGCTTTTTAGTATTTTAATACCATGGTTCCCTCATCAGCTATGGTAAAAGACCACTCACATACTGGGGATGGAGTGCCATCATCCAAAAAATGTCCAATCGAGGACGGGATTGGAGGTTATAGACTAGGTCCCAGTGAAGAGAAGCCCACCTTTGTAAAATAAGAAGCCCTCCTGTTTTAAGCTTGTCTTAACTCTTAAATGTGGGAGGTTAAACCTGTATAATACCCTCTCTAATCCTGCTCTTTCTGGCCTGGCAACATTCGTGGTCCAGCATGATCAACTATCATTTAACCCTAAATCTGGATTCTGTGTGAGTCTTGTGTGGCCAAAGAGAAAGGTGAAAGTGTTGTGGAAACCGGAAAAGGGCCAAGCAGTACATGAGTTTGAATTTTCCAGTGTGGCTTACGTACACTACATATAAGAACATAAGAAAGGATGTAGGCAAGTGGAGTTGTTGGTTTGAAGAAGCAGAAGAATCAGATCATTAAGCCTTGTGCTGACAGCAATACTGAAAAGAAGCCGGTGGTTTTCATAATGAATGTTCTTAAGACACTGAAGGAAGGGAAAAGTAGATATTTACTGTACAGTATACAGAAAGTGTGTGTATACATTTTGCGAAGTTCAGCAGAATGAAGATGTTAGCATTTCTGGCAAGATGATAATTTTTAATATTATGCTCATTTCCTTGTGCACATACAGTAAAATCATGAAAAAAACACAAACGTAGTGTTATCAGGACAGCTGTTAAGCCTTTGTTTGGAGTGGGCTTGTGTAGGTTACTTTGAGAAGCACATGATTATTAAGCAGCATTGCAAACACAGTTCTGTTTATTCGTCTTGATAAAATATAAAGTGACCCAGTCACTTCAGAATTGACCTCCCTTAATTCAACCAATTCAATGGTTTGAAACCAGTCAGGTTAAGGGAGGTCTGTCCACTTACATAAGCACAGATGTATGAGAATTTCATGGTTTTGCTTATTTCATAGTTTTGAGTGTTTCATACTCAGAAAGAAAAACGTGTTGGGAGAAGTCTGATGTAGCAAAAATGCAGGAATAATAATGATAGATATTAACATAGATATTACCTGAAAATGATATATTTTGAAAATATTTTAAATTACTGTGTCTATTATACAGTTGACCATTTTCCTTTATGTGCTTCTATTTCTGATTCTTTAAACATTGTTATAGGTTACAGTTTGATGTTTGTGCTTCAACAGGGGTGTTCACATTTATTTGATTATGAGCAGATCAGTGTAACTGCACTGTGCTTCCTGACATCTACATACTAATCTCAAGGGGGCAATAGCTGTGAAGACAAGAGATGTCTTCTGAAAAGCCTGTCTTGTATGCATTAAATGTTAGCCTGCAAAAAAACTGTGCTTTGCCTTCTGACAAACAAGACATGACTTTGCATTGCAACTGTTACACTTTGCAGTCACATTACCCTTTTGTGATTAATGCAACAGGATATAAAATTTGTCTTTTACAGACCTTGGCATGACATTGTAATGAAATATGACACAGTGGGCTAGAGCTTTCTTCAGTCTGCTTTCCATTATTTTTCTTTTTTTTTAATCCCTAACTTTTCTTTCTGCTTTCTTCCCATGTGCTGCTGCTCCGCAGACCCCAAGCCGCCCAGCACGCCAGTGCTAACCCCCCCATCCAGCAGTCTGCCCTGGCCGGTCATCATCGGCATTCCGGCCGGCGCGGTGTTCATCTTTGGCACGATCCTCCTTTGGCTCTGCCAGACGAAGAAGCACTGCTCCTCCCCAGTGGCGACGGCCGCCAGCGCCCAGGCCGCCCATCGCCAGCCCCCCAGGGAGAGGACCTGTGTCCCTCAAGTCCCAGACAAAGACTGCGGGAATTACGAGGAGTATTTAGCCCAGCAGCAGCATTTGCTAGCCCAAGGGGGACCTGCCTTGGCGTCAGCCATGGCTCCGAAAATGTATCCAAAGATCTACACGGACATCCACACACACACCCACTCGCACGTGGATGGGAAGATACACCAGCACCAGCACATTCACTATCAGTGTTAGCTGCGAAAGGAGTTCCTAAGGGAAGCGACCACAGCAACGGAGTGTGACTGCATGCGCCCTCACACATCCTGACATTTTTTCAGTGTGGTACCTCAGCCTAGAGAACCGTTCACTGCCAGCCACCAGTGGGCCTCAAACTGGATTTAAAAAATAATGAGAAATATATTAGAGACAACGTGAATACGTTTTGTTCAGTGAGTTGGGAGAAACAATGAAGGAAGACAGGTCTTGGGGTTGGGGTGGGGTGGGTTGGGGAGCAAGACGGAATTTGTTGTTATTGTCTTGGTTAATCAGAGGGGCAAACAAAAATAAAAGTTCATGTGACTGAAATCAGCAAACGTACTCTGTTAGCTTTGCCTTGATAGGATCTTTTTTTTTCCACAACAGGAGTAGCTCAGTCTCTATCGGCTTTTTTGGCATTAACATTTCTTTGGCTCTGGGCCGATCGCAACACAACAAGAATGTGCCAAGAGGAAACTCTTAACAAGCAAGTTTTATGTCAAAAGCAAGAAAATGTCAGCAAGGTTTACCGATGGAAAAAAGTGTTTTTGTGCGTAATATATATGCAGAAATGTTTTACTTTAAAAATGTAAGTATATACACACATCAGAAATATTAAAGGGTCATTTGGGGTATATACTGTAATTCCCTAAGAATGCAGTGATGATACTGTGATAAGGATGCAGTAACTTGGTGTGCACCACGTTAAAATTTATCTGTAAGTAATGCACTTGCCGTAATTTATTTAGTAACTCTGTGTGCTGAAGAGAACAGGGTGTGGGAGGTTGTCACTTGATGGAAATAAGATCTCTCTTTATAAAAAAAACAAAAGAGAGACAACAACTTGAAGTAACAGGGCATTAATCATGCCAGAAAGAAAAGGCTTGTGCCGTTCTGCAATATAAAGAGTGATTCAGTGACCATATCGTGGATTGATAAATGTTCTAATGCTTGTATGGGCCATAGTAGTAGTGCTCTTTTGTCCATAGTAGGAAGGTTTTGTATTTCTTATATTTTTGGCACACAGTTACTCGGGCTCACTTGATATCCTTGATTTCCCAGTGCTGTTGACAATATTTAATTTCCGAATAAAATCTAACATAAAGGCTTATTTTATTTCTTCATACTCAGGTGGCCCTTTTTTTTTATTCTTTTGTTTTGCTTTTTTGATGTGTGTGTATATCTAAATCCCTGACCACTATTAATGCCAATAAGGAACTGCTTAATTTATTTGCCATTGACTGCTGAGTATCCATGCCCTTTCAGGTTATAGATACACACAAATGGCACAATTAAAAAAAATAATAACAGAATGCCATTGCTAGACACCAAATGCCTCCACTTTCAATGGTTTGAGGCCTTCCCGTGAAGAAGGAGTACAGAAGACTGAATGTGAGGAATGGTGATTTTATTGTATCATCCAATGAGCAAACCCTACAGCTGTGTTGATATTGGAATAAAATGCTACTTATCAATGCCAAATTGACTGCCGATTAAATATCAGCTAGTTCCAGATATGAACTAATTCTGAGTAAAATTCTAAAAATGTTCCTCACAATCACATTTTACTGACTTGAGGAAGGAAAGGACCATTATAGTGCCTGTGTGGACTAGAGTAAAATTTAACCACAAAATATAAAGCTTTAGTAATTCTATATAGATTTTAAACAGAAGTCATGTATATTTAATTTATTTTGTTAAGCAAGATATAATGTATAATATGTTCATCAAACCTGGCATTTCTATACATATTTTGATCCAAAATATAAGCAATTGATGCCATTTTCCTCTAGTTGCCATGTAAGCTATGTAGCATATAATGAATACTTTGTTGTCATGTTGTCAAGTCATATATTTGTATGCGCTGTTTGAAAAATACCGAAATTGTAATTATTAATATCTTTGTATTGACAATCCTGTACAGTCTGCCCTCTTTGTTGGAATTGTTATCAAAAAGTTTATTCATTTGGAGACATTTTAATCATTTTATCACTGTTATTAAAAAAAGCAGAAAAGACTCCAGTTTTATTTCTTCATGCTTTTAAAAAGCAATTTCTTGCCTTCTGTCATGTTGTAATGTTTTTATAATTGCGATATACACTATAAAAAAACAGCATTCTCTTACAAAACAGGTAAGACCCTGTTCCCAGAAAACAGACTGATCTATGCCACAAGCAGGCTTTTAATATTAAAGAAGAGAGGAAGACTGAATTTTAGTCAAATTTGATCAATAAACAAAATATTGTCAAAAAACTACAGGCCTACAACATTACTAAATACGAGTAAGTTTTTCAAAGACTACAATGGCTTTCAGCTTGATTTTACCTGAAATATACACTAGAAAACATACAGTACATACTGTCATATTGGATCATTAGTAATGAAACACAAAACAGTTGCACAAACATATAGCTTATACTGTACATTGTACACAAATCATCGCAAGTATCAAGCTACATTGGGAATCTTTACAAATCCACAAACCATGGGAAATCCGACCTGCGGCCAAAAGGTCCATTTGGAATCTTAAAGGTGGCTGTAGTTATTTTGTAACATTCCTGTTTTTCATTTTCTTAAGATTTAAAAAGAAAGACTGTAGTCTTAGTGTGGACTGGTTCAGGAAGAAGTTCTGGTATCAGAAATATCTCATTTTAAAAACAGACAGACCATTTTGTAATTGTTTTTTGGATGTTTTTGTGTGATCTGCAGTATTATCTGCAGCAGCCAACAGGAGTGAATAACAAGAGTTTAAATACCTTGCTTGGAGCAGTTTTATTGCTATTTCATGTGCACAAAAATGATCTAGTCCTAAGAATAACAATCATGCTGTTCCCCACACACAAACATACATTTCAAACTACTGCTGCCTCTAATAACAAATGTTTTCAAGAACGTTTGGACACCACTGCCTTGTGGTTGTTAGGCTTTTTGTGAAATCTACAGTATTCATCTAAATGGGAGGACAACTGGGAGCAGCAAGCGCCAAAGACTATATCTCTGCTGCCAGAGAAGTTAACTGTTTGCCCCTTCTGCTGTATTTCAAACAGAGCTACCAGGTTTGAGGCTCGTGCCTTGATGCTTATTAACCTTTAGCCGCTTCTGAAGGTGGTCTTGGCAGGTTTGCATCTGTAGGTACTGTATGAAGAGTATAAAATGTCGGGAAAGAGACAGCACCCTGCATATGTCTCCTTCATATGTTTAGAATTTAAAAAAAAGTCAAAACCACATCTCTTTGGATCATTTTTTTAGAAAAACAGGTGTAGACCACCCAAAATGTCAAAACTTCCAATATTTTCAAAACCTACAGTATTTGATACCATAATGTTTTTTTTTTCCATCCATCTACAGTAGTTTCCAACCGCTTTATCCAGTACAAGGCTATGGAAGAGCTGGAACCTGTCCCAGCAAGACAGGCTATATCTACAATGGACAGGGTGCCAGTCCATCGCAGGGCACACACAGACCCAAACCTACACATTTGCACCACGGCCAGTTTTTCCAGAAGACAATTATCCCACCAGTCTGTCTTTAGACAGTGAGAGGAGACTGGAACTCCCAGAGAAAACGCACACAAACACGTTGAGAACATACACATTTGTGCATGTGTTTATGTACTCTATCAATGGTGGTGCAGCAATGCCAACCTCTGCACCACCATTAATAGAGTACGTAAACACATTCTGTTGTTCTATCAGCTACTATCTTCACCCATTTTCTTAATTTTCTTTCTCCTTAATTTTTAAAATAGAATAGCAGTCTTTCAGAATCAAACATACTGTACATAGATGACATAAGTCACTGACTAAATATTTTTTATTTTACACCCATTCAGAATGAGTGCCACTACAATCAACAAGCCTGTTTTCTTAGTAACTAAATACTGTGGAAAAAGGTGTGATTTAATTAACAGGTGAATTGGTTGAAACTCAATACTCTCTTTTACAAGACAAAGAAAATGCTTTTCATGTGCAGAGATACATTTATAATTAGTTTTCCTTTTACTTACATTGCTTGGCATACAATTCCCTGCAGAATTGGTTTCTGATCATTGCAAACAGAGGTATAAATATTCATACAACAATAACGTGAACATTTTGTGATGTTGTGCACGCTTGCTGTTTCTTGTGTGTGCATTGCTCTATGTTGTGTGTTTTGCACTTTGCGACCACCATACATTCTCACAAGAGACAGATCTTATTGTACCACACTCAGTGGCTCCCTTTTTCTTCTGCCTGCTCAGAGGAAACCAAACGCCAGTGCTGCTGCCTATTCAGCAAGCCACGGAACCCCAGCCCGATTCGGAAGCTTCTGGAGCTCAACATCTCTCAAACCTCCATCTCTCAGCCCCCTCCAGCTATTTCCCTTCCCCATCATTTCTCCATCTCTGACACCAGCTCCTCTTGTCCGACCCATTGACCCGCCGTCTCACCAGAACTCTCCATTCTCCTTGGATGGCTTGGAAATGTCCCTTTGAATCTTTCATCACCTCTGTATTTCCTACCATCTACTAAACACAGTCCTATAAAAAAAATGTAAATTTTGTACAAAAATAATTATGTATCATTTTTATAGGGGCTCAGTTTTTGGTGGTTCTGAGAGGCAAGTTTTCCATTTTCTGTCCAATACAAGGTCACAGGGGAGCTGGGGCATACAGTATGTAGCCAAGCTACAGGGAGACAGACACCTTAGATAGGACATCAGCCCATTGCAGGACAAAAAATCAGTCTAATTCAAATTAGTTTAACACCTAATTCACACCTGAAAAAGGTTCCACAGCCCAAACGTTGTGTTTTCTTTCTTCTCTTTTCAGCATGGAATAAACCTATTACTTGTTCCTTTGCGGACTACGCATACTGATACAGTTACCCACCTGAACTAATTCACATTACGTCTGTACCAATACTAATACTAACAATTTGGAAGTCTGAGATGCCTTTTTTCAGGATGAGTGATGTTGAATGGGTTAGTGGTCTATTTTACATGTTAATGCACATTGTTTTTTTACACCAAATAGGCTTCCTATAACATTCTGAGCAACCGTCCTGGTTATTCCTATAGAAATTAAACTGCATAAAGATATGCATATCCCTCCCTAATTGCAATTGTATTTGTGGATTCGAGGCTATGTGTTAACAAAGTATTTTGATGCTTACTTCAGATGGCTGTATTGATTCTGCTTTGGAGAATTTTGTGTTGGGTGTCTCCTGTCAATGAAAAATTGCATTCCTAGGGATTCGATGTGGAAGTCCATGTTATCAATGCGTAGTCGTTGAATTCTGAGGAACTGCAAAAAAGGGAGAGGTTTGTATGTTTACATGTTTGGGGAGGAAGGAGATTACAGGAAATAGCTTTGTGAGTCAGTAGGTTTGTAATACACAGAAGTTGAGATCTCTCCAACTGGGTCCATGGGATTCTTGTACTGCTCTATGAGTAAGATGTATATCTGTACATAGGCGCATGCAGTCGTAGGAACTGCAGTGTTCTGGGGATGTTTTTATGTGAAGGGAAGATTGAAAATCTGTAAATAGGATATTTAAAAAAAATAACTATCTTGTCTGGTCTGTGGAGGCACTGGTGGTTCTGGGTGATTAGAAAAAACCTTTGACAGGGGAAGAAGGGTCCTAACACCTTTAGTATTTGCTAGGTGGCATAATTGGGCCCAAAGCAAAAAATATTCCTGCATGTAGAGGTAACCTACTGTACAATTGATTCACTTAACTGAACTGAAACAAATGATTTACTAAAAAGAATGTGACTGGTCAACAGCCCTCTGGAAGCCTTTGCTTCTGGTTTTAAATGTCACCTAACCAGTTATCTTATCCCAATCGGGTACATGACTGAGGATGACAGGTCATTCCCCATCTGTCTCTGGGGAATGTGCTTAGGTCAAAAATCACCATTTGTCTCAAAATGCTGCTCTTTTACACTGAACATTATCCACACAGAGCTCTCTGTTCCTAGAGTCTATATTGCTGGCGAAAAATTAGAGCAGTGAGTGTTTAGACTGTTGTTACGCAACCAGTTAAATCCTTATTACATAGAGTAATTCTCTTCTATCTGACTTTATTTGAGTTGTTCTTAAATAGGAAATAGAAATACTTCCTCTCAACTATAGAGAGATGTATGACGAGTGCTGCGGAGGAGTTTGTTTTGGTGGGGGGTATTGTGATATTTAGTTCTTGAATTGTTTCGTTTTGGGATAAATCTTAATTTAATAAAAATCACAGCACTATCCATTTTACCTTCGTTGAGGCACTAATTTTAAATGTCCTTAGACACGGCATGCCTCAGTATGTTTTAGCAGCCAGATCATGCATGCAAAATATGTTATGCATTAAAAAATCAATTTTATGGTAATCCATGGTTGGGGAGGTTAGGGCACTGAATGTAAAACAGAATTAAATTTCCTGTCATGTAGCATGAAAAACATTGTGCACCCATCTGGACAATTAAATTTGTATTAAACACTTTTTTAGAAACTGAGTTGATGAAAAAAACTAAATAATCACGAGCCACAAATTATCAGTAGGACGCTGTACCTCCTTTTTGGACAGTGTTCCTTAAATTGAAGTGGATGTATGAACAAACATCAACATGACTTACTGTAATTTCTTTATCATGCATAATACTTTTCTGCACTGAAATAAAGTCATCACATTTACTCAAGAAAGGTTAAAAGCAGAAACAAATTAAATAATTATTCACTATACACAGTATGACATGTCAATTCCAAGCTCCAGCAATACTGACAGAGCGATTTCAATAGAATCATTCCCAATATTTAGGGTGCCTAAAATAAATAGTGTGATGTAAAAAATAACATTTTAATAGCAAAAAACTTTTATAGTTCTGTAGAATTTTCAAAGCCAGGCTTAGCAGAGTCACAGTCCACATTAACATTGGAATTGACTGTAGGTATTCATTTGAAATGCTGGATATACTTCAGAAGAGTAACACATCAGCTACAGTATATATTAATTACACATTACAGTAGTTTCTATTGAACAAGCAG